GAATACACCAAGTGAAAATGCAACTGGTGCTCAGGGCCCCGAGTCTGATCTTTTGCTAACAGGCCAAGTCTCCAGGCTCCCTTCCCTTAGCACTTCCAGCTTTCACACCCTGACCTTCATCCCTATTTATTACCTGAAAGTATCAAGGAGATGACCACTGCAAGGGCTGTCGCAGAATGTATCCTCTACCTTCTAGGACTGCCTAAACTCCCTTCAATAGGAGAAAAAGCTCTTCTAATCCCACTCAGAGATGAACCGTATGCCAGTTTCCCTGGAGACTCAGTGGTAAAGAACTCACTGCCAGAGCAGAAAATGCAGGTTCGATCCCTGGATTGGGAAGATCTCCTGGAGAAGGAAATGGCAACCCACTCTAGTAATCTTGCCTGGGAAATCCCATGGACAGAGGAGCCTGGCAGGCTACAGTCCACAGGGCCACAAAAGAGTTGGACATAACTGAGCGACTAAACAATGACAACAAAGTTTCTCTGGGCGGGTAGACAAATTGGGTTCACTGAAGTCTGAAAAGAGCCCAGGTTTTACAGTCAGGTTTTCAATCTTGGTTCTACATTTGGTTCAAACTGTGTGGCTGCGGCAAGTTACTTAGCCTCTTTGAGTCTAAGTTTCTATACTTTTAAAATGTAAAGAATCATATTCATCTCCTAAGATTTTCCGGAGGATTACACATACAGTTTTAAAGTACCTCATAGAATTATTTGGCATGCGATAGATAGTCAGTAGCAGTAAAAGTAGCAGTAGGTAGAGAAGAAAATGGCAACCCTCTCCAGTAATCTTGCCTGGAAAAATCCCATGGACAGCGGAGCCTAGCAGGCTACAGTCCATGGGGTCGCAAAAGAGTAAGACACAATTGAGCGACTCGACAACAGCAGCTAGCAGTAGCAGTAATGATGCTTCTGTTGCTGATGCACAAAAGAGCCAGAAACACAAAAAGCACCTTCCCGAGTCTACTAGTTTCTTTGTGGGCTGGACTGTATGTATCAGTAAGACACTGTGGGTGGAAGAACTGCATGTCCTACACAGCAGTCACATGCATCCCCTGGTGTTAACTATGGGTGCAGTGCAAATTAACTGCAGTTTCTCAAAAAGTATTCTTTGGTTTTAAATAAGCACCTTAATTGAATTTTAGTTCACAGAATTGATAAGGGGAATTACTGATATACATTTTCTAGATTCTGATGCTGCAGACAGAAAATTTTAATGTTGTTGATCAGTGACACTCACTGGCAAAGTGCAGCATGGCAGCCTAGCTCCATTAGACACGGTCAGAGGGGACAACTGCCAGGAAGAATCTCCCAGAGGGTGTAAGTAAATAGGGGGTGGTAGATTAGAGACCTCCAAGCATGGCAGAACACATTATCTTAGCAAGAGGAAAGTGAATAAAACACTAAGGGGAGTAAAGCATGTAATCAAGAAAATTTTTACAGTCTTGAAATACTCACATAAACACCCTGGGATGCCACAGAAGAGCACTTCACACAAACATCTCTCTTAACAAACATTTTCCCTCAATTATTCTCCATTTTACAATGGAAATCAATAAAAAATAGTGTGTGTGTGTATATATATATATATATATATATATATGTATATACATATATATGTATAGTATAACTGAATTTATAACTAAGTATAACTGAATCATTTTGCTATATACTTGAAACTAATGCAACATTGTAAATTAACTATGGTTCAATTTAAAATAGGATGAACCACAAAAATTCACTTTTCAGTCAACCTATAGCACACATCTCTTATTAGGCAAGGAATAGTACTACATTGGGCTTCCCAGGTGGTGGTGGTGGTCAAGAACCCACCTGTCAATGCAGCTGACATAAGAGACGGGTTCAATCCCTGGGTCAGGAAGATCCCCCGGAGGAAGGCAGAGCAATCCACTCCAGTATCCTTGTATGGAAATTCCCATGAATAGAGGAGCCTGGCAGGCTGCAGTCCATGGAGTCCCACAGAGTTGGACACGACAGAAGCAATTGAGCACGCAATACGTACATTTGGCCTGGAGTAGCTTTGCAACATGTAAAATTAACTTCATGCCAATTTGAGATCACAGTTCTAAGAATATATATTGCCTTACATCACTACACAAGGAATTGTTGCTTTAAGGTTTTAGTTTGAAAAACTTAAAACCTATAGAAAAGTTGAAAGAGTAGCACAATGAATATCTGTATAGCCATCACTTAGATTTATCGGTTGCTAACATCTTACCACATTACTCATGCTCTCTCTCCTTGTTACTCCACCTCTAAATACAGCATCAATTATCACCTAATACCAGGCATTCTTGTACATTAATATAATACCATTGTCATTCTCAATGAGTTTAACATTGGTAGAATGAATTATCTTATATACCTTCTGTATTCAAATTTTCCCTGTTATTCCAATAAAGTTCTTTATAGCTCTTGTTAGTTTCCCCAGTTCATGATCAAATCAGAGATAAAGCATTACATTTCATTGTCATATCTTTTTGGTCTCCTTTTAGTCTAACATAGTCCCGCTGAACACATACATACACATACATCCTTTTTCTTTTTTCTTTCAAAACATTTATAGCTTTAGAGTTTATGCTATTTGATTTTAAGACTATCTTATGATGTGAATGTATCTGATTAATTTATCTTTATTACATTCAGGTCAATTTTTTTGACCTGCATACTACATAAACGATGCGTCCTTCCCATTGCACTCCATCAAAAATCACATTGTCCCATTAATGGTAATGCTAAGTGTGATCACTTGATGGAGATGGTGTCTGCTATGTTTCTCCACAGTAAAATCACTTTGTTCCTGTGTAATTAATAACTAATGTGTGGGGCTGTTACTTTGAGGCCATGTAGATATCTGCGTCCCCAAATTGTTGTTGTTTTTTAATCACTGCAATTATTGTGATCACTCCCTAACAGATTTGAGCAGTAATGGGGGACAAAGGCATGGTCTTCATTCACTCACTATCTCTGTAAATCCCATTTAGCACTGGTTAATGATAATGAAGCCTTTGGCAGTTTTTTTCCTAGATGCACTTACAGGATAGAATTCCATTTAAAAAATGCATTACACCAAAGCACAGTGAAAGCAATTACCAATACTCAATTACTCTGGCATCACTTCATCACTGGAGATACTCTTAAATGCAATGCAAGGGCAATTTTGAATATCCTGAAGGTGAAAGTTGGCCTACAACAGCAGAAGCTCAGAAACCCTCAGTGGCTCCCAAGAACTACCCAATACATCCTCAAACCCTTACCTTGGCATTTAAGGCCCTAGAGGATCTGGCCACACATTTCATCCCCTCTCCCATGTCTCCCTTTCACATCCCCACCATGCTGAACTGTCCTCTTCTTCTTAGATACCCCTTCATGCTCTTCCCATGCTCATCTGGATTCCTTTGTCTTGAACATTCTGATCTCCATCAGAGAATTTACAGATGCTTTTACTCAGATTTGAAGGCAAGGTCAAATGTGTGCTCTTTCCATAAGCATTTGTTCCAAAAGTAACCTCTCCCTCGTCTGAGTTCTCTTTACCTGGGAAATGAGAGCCCTCGGTACCTGCCCTCAGAACAGCCTCATTCTGTCTGTGGCTTCTCTTCCCATAAGGCTGAAATCAGAGCTGCGGTTTCTGAACAGTACCCTGAGAATGTGTTCAGAACATCAATGATGTTCAAGTACCAAAACATTTTTGAGAAAATTTGATATCTAAAAAAAAAAAAAATGTAAGCATTTAAGTAGTTATCATGAGAAAAATTAGAACTGGCTGGTATTCCTCATAAATATTTATAATTTAATATATTTTTATTTTGAATTACATATGGGGAAGAGGAGAAGAGAGAACTATCTTTCTTAGGACCCCATATATCTTAATCTAGCCTGGGCTGAAAACTCCAGCAACAGAATTCACAATATTTCTTCCCTAGCCCCAGGCCCAGCACAATGTGCTATGCATGGTAACTGCTCAATAAGTAGCTACTGAATGACTGAGACAAAACTAGGAATTACAATTGTTTTGCTCCCTTGAAGATGGAATGTCTCTCCCTAGCTCTCCTATGCCCCTCATCCAAGGCATAGCTCATCCCAAGAGGCCCTCTGTGGCTACCACATTAGAGAACAAAGAATGGCCATGGGCCTTCGGCTTCAGGCTTGCATATTTGAATTCAAGACTTTCATTGGCCTGTGTTCTGCACATATACAGAATTATTCCCACAATTTTTTCACGTTTACATATTCTCTGTAACCCATCCATGAAGTCCAGGTGAAGAACTCTCGCTTTTAAATCTTCCCAGTAGCTTAGCAACCCTGGGTTCTTAGCAAACTTCTTCCTCAAGGTCCCCAAAGCAGAAGCCAATTTCTCCATCTGAAACCTCCTGCCCCCATGGGGTCAGAGCTGAGCTCTGTCTCCTGGGCAGGAATAAACAGTTAACACAACCCCAGGGCCAAGTGGCATATGACCTCGCACACAGCGTGGAGGACTGTCTGCCCTGTGGCTGGGCGCGTGCGACCCCTGTCACAGCCGTCAGGCTCTGCCTGACCCAGAGCGGCCAGCAGGACAGACTGCTGTCTTTGTGGGAGGAGTTCATGGCGCTCTGTCACTCACAGGCATTCTCTCCGGGTTTCACTCAGAGATGGAGGGACGCATCTGAGTGCTGTAGAAATCCCTCATTCTGAGTGGGCCCAGGAATTTGGGATGAAAGGTGTGGAGGGGGGAGTCTCATCGAGGGGACGTGTGTGCAAACACACACAGGCATACACAGTTCTTTCTGAGCCCAGGGAAGTGACAGCAAATGAGCCATTTCCTCAGGATGGCTCAGCCCAGCTCAGAACTTATTGTGACATAATTTAAGTCACAGGGTTTTCATCCCACCTGGCACTGTGTGTAGGGACTGTGTCTAGAAGGTGCTATGGGGGACTAGACAGCCCCCGAGGTCTGGGCTCATCATGTGCCCTAACCCAGTAGTATATCCACACCTGACTACTCTCTTAGCCCATCTAGCCAAGCAACCAGGACGCAGGTGACATGGCCAGAGAAAGGACATCTCTCAACAAAGTCCCAGAATGAAGGTAACTCCTCTCATCACTCAGGTGGCCCCTGACTGTTGGGGGGAGGCGCCTTCTTGTGTGGGGGGTGTGTGTATGAGTTTACGCATCAACAGGCCCCCAGTCCAAGGGGTCCCAAAGAGTCGGTCACACGACTGAGCACACACGCATGTACCCTCTGGACCATAGAAACACTGGAGAAGAAAAACGTGACCTGAGGAAAAAGAAGAGCAGCTACTTTAGAATCACAGACACTTGGACCCAGATTCAGGTCTAGACTCCTGTGCCTGCTCCCTGTGTGACCTCAGGGAAGGCACTTCATGTCTCTGAGCCTGTTTTCTCTTCTGTGACAGGGGAATCAGAACCTGCCTCTGAGGTCTGGTAGAAATAAATGTGAGGATTGAAGGCGAGGTGTCAGCACCATGCCTGGTACATCACAGATGGTCGAGACCCATCTGTTGCGTTTCTGTCCCTTGCTCTGGTCTATGCAACTCCTGATGGGATCATCCAAGTGAAAAATCTGGCTCCGGCTTTTTAACCCCCCCATCGACCCCAGAGTCTACCTGTTTTATGCTTCCACATCCTGTAAGAGGCCAGTGACTGGCGCCGCTCAGAGCTCTCCCAAGCTCTCAGAGAGGACTTGGGTGATTAAACTGGGGACGCTGAGTTTCCCCAAATGTAAAGCTGCCTCTCGCTATGCATCACCAGCAGAGCCAGACCTGTGTTCCCTGCCAGACCCCAAGCTCCTGCTTCTTGAACAATCTAATCCATTTTGTTCAAAGCAAGAGGCAAGAGGGCTTTAAGTAATAGGAAGGCAGTTTTCCTAGGACATTCACATAGTCACAGTAAAGCAGTTTATGTCGCCAGCGGCATTTCTTCTGGGATTGTTCACAAGGAACATGACTTAGTTTTTTGCAGCACTTTAAAGACTGTTGTTCTTTTGTTGTAAGTGGGACTGAAAATGTGTTTCTAGGTACCTACAGGGTCCCGTTTGACTGATTCTCATGGGACTTCTAAAAAGAAAGCATCAAGCTTGAATGGGTCCCGGATGGAAAGTGGGCCAAATGGTGAGTGAGCAGCTCAGACCCTGAGTGCTGGACCTTCCACGGTCTAAAGGTGGGGGGGTGGTCACTGAGAGTGAAGGGGACCCTCTCCATGGGAGATGCCTTGTGAGCACAGAGGAGGGGGGTCAGAACAAGAAGGGGAGCTTCCTAGAACACCCTCACTTAAAGAGAATCCTAGATTCAAACCCACCTGATGAGTCCCATATTACAGATGGGGGAACTGAGGCTCAGAGATGTGAGGTCACTGGTCCAAGGTTATGCAGCGAGTAAGTGCTGGGTCCTGGGTTCCAGCACTCACACCTGCAGCTGCTGCACCAGCTGGACATGTCAGGGGAATTGCCTCCGACTTGTAGACCGAGGCTCCCCATGTGGAATGACCAAGACTCCAGCCCTTTATTTCACGGCATCCTGAAACCCTGCCAGGAAGCAGCTCCCCTGGGCACTGGTTTTGCAGTGACGGTGGGCGACAGCCTCCTTGGGGGCTAAGAGTCACGAATTCCGGCACATCTGAGTGTAGATAAGGAGAAAAGCAATCACAATTTTTTTCCAAATGTGAAATTTCACATTTCCTATTACTTGTCACTGATCTGACTGTGGCCACAAGTCACTGGTCTTGTGTCCAGGGACGTGGGGATATACCCGAGGTCATACACCTGTAAGTGGCAGAAGCCGGTCTCTGTCTGCATCCAAGACTCCTGCTCTTTCCAGCTGACCTCCTTTTCAGATGCAGCAACTAAGCCCACACAGCCCTACCCTCACTCAGATAACACAGAGGGCAGACACACCAAGCATATAAACAGAAGGGGGTCTCAGATGGCGATAAGTGCTGCTGAGAACAATGAGGCAGAGTAAGGAGACGGAGATGGACAGGCCAGCAACTATTTGATGAAGGTGGTTTGGGAAGGCCTCTTCAACAAGGCAAACAAAACCTGAGCAGAGACCTGGGGGAAGGGAGAGAGGAGGAGGGCAGCCACCTGGCTTTCAGGAAGGAAGAGCAATCCAACCCGAACAGCAGGTGCAGGGACCCCGGGGGACAGGGGGAGAGTGCTTGGTGAGGGGAAGGAAGAGCGAAAGGCCCCATGGCTGGGACTCAGGAGTGACGGTGAGAGTGGGGGCAGAGCTGGTTCCCGCAGGTGGGAGAGGAGCCTGTCTGCAAGGTGCTCTGACAGAGCGGAGGGCCGGAGTTCCTCTCCGAGCCCAGAGCCCTGGCCAGGTGTGCTGGTGTCAGGACAGGGATGCAGAGGGGCTGAGGCTTCTGGGAGGTGTAGCAACGTGGGCAGGTGCTTTGGGACTCAGGAACTGGGCTTCCAGGAGGAGGAGAACAGGGTGAGGCCTCTAAGAGCTGGGAAGACCAGGGAAGGAGTCCATGTAGAAAGGTTGGGACCAGGTCCAAGCAAGAATGGCTGTAAGATGAACCTTCACCAGAGCCTCCTTCTAGCTCCCACTCTGCTTGGTAGTGGCCAGAGAGCTGTGACATAGACCCAGCTGCAAGGGAAGATCACACAGGGACAGGGAGCCAAGCATCCTGTGTCAAGTAAAACACTCAAAAGCCAAGTTCTTATACCCTGAAAAGGCAATTGGAATCTCCTCCAGGTGGCCCTGTCCCTGGACTGTTGAAGAAAAGGAGACAGGGAGAGTGTGTGTGTGTGTGTGTGTGTGTGTTACTTGCTCAATTGTGTCCAACTCTTTGTGACTCCATGGACTGTAGCCTGCCAGGCTCCTCTGTCCATGGAATTCTCCAGGCAAGAATACTGGAGTGGGTAGCCAGTCCCTTCTCCAGGGGATCTTCCTGACCCAGCGATCAAACCCAGGTCTCCTGCATTGCGGGCAGATTCTTTACCATCTGAACCATAAGGGAAGCCTGAAGAAAAGGAGGCCTGGACTTAAATTCTCCGTTTTGCATAAGAGGTCTTAGAAAAGTCAACTGACCACTCCCCAAGTCTCCATTTCCTATAGGTAACAAGCCCCACCCCATGGGTGTATCACGGGGGATACACGTGATTGAGCCCCCAGAAGACCCTCAGTAAAGGGTGGTCATCCCTGCTACCACTGCAGCATATGGATGGACTAAGACAGATGCCAAGGCCTTGACTGATGTCAGCTGACCCAGTTACAACGCGTCAGAGGTCAGCTCTGTGAAACAGATCATGCAGTGATCACTGCGGCCCAGGGGCAGCCAGACAGCCCAAGAGAGATGGGAGACGAGGCTCCACCCACCCGGACCTGCTGGGATTCAGCACTCCCATCTTTCACTGCTGTGCTGAGAATGCTCGTTCCCACCCTGGAAGAAATAAACAGAGGGGACTGGGGGTGGGGGGAGGTCTATACAAATATATAAATCCATATGTGCACACGTATGGATTTATTGTAGTCAGTTAAAGGGAACATTTGTGGTGTTTTAGCTATCCTCAGACAACTAAAGACCAAGGGACCCTCACATATAGCCCTGGCATCCCTGGTCTGGCTGGTCCTAAAACAACATTTAAATAAAAGCAGTCACTCCCTTCTCTATCCCTTGAGAGACACTAGCTGCCTGGATGAAGCTGGCAGCAACAGAGCTCCTGCCCCAGCCCTCAGGCCCAGTGGCCCACCCCACTGAGTCACCTGGGTCCCCTCTTCTCGTCCCCTAAGATTTCTGTCACAGTCCCTGAGTTTCAAATCCTGCTCAGAAGGCTTGACAAATGATTGTAACCAAAGTGAGAACACTGATAATCTTGCAAAATGAGCCTCCTAGGAAAAGGATCTGCACTTTCTCAATCTTACCAGCTTTAGCTGAAGAGGTGATGCTGTAATGGGGGGACTTTACACAGGCTTCCCCATGGCCAGGGCCTCCTCTGGCCTGGTTTAACAGCTCTGCTCTGAAGGCCTGTCTCCTGCCAGCAATCTCCAAGGTGGCAGAACCTTAGAGATGCCAGTAGAAGGATGACATCCTCAGATACAATGCCGGGCTCCAGAGAATGTCTCAGGAGCCATGGGATTCCAGGTTCTTTGAACATGATTGCCCAAGACCCTGCCTATCCCCAAGCTGGGACCCCTCTCACCAACCAGCCCAAAGCCCTTTCTGTGCCATTAGACCAATACAGACAGCAACTGCATTTCATGGTTGAAAAAGCCAGTGACGGGATAAGTGGTGTTTGTTATCTAACCAAATTGTAGAGGAAATGATGTGTGAATGAGAAAATTCTAACACAACCGTGGATCCCTTCTGACAGCTTCGATTATGGTTTTGTTTAGTTAAGCACTTTTGCATTCTAATGAACTGTCTTATGGAATTATTAATTGGACCTGGGATTTCCAGGGCTTTTCCACTGCTCTAACTCCTTCCTAGTGGAGATGACATGTCTTTGGGTATCTTGACTATAAAGGTTGGTTTTCCACTTGAAAATCCTGAGGCTAAAGATCAGAATAAACTAAATTCAGACATGCAAGCTGAAATAGGTAGAGTAGCTTTTGGTCTTTCTACCAAGTTGAGGACACAGAGAAGCAAATTCTTGAAATTGTAGGGATATAGAATAAGACCAATTCAGGGGCACTGATCTGTGGCTTTTCATTAGGAAAGGAGTCCAGTTGAGAAATCAGTCAGAACCAGTGGCTCAATTGTCCAGGAGCCGAGTGCTAGTCATCTGAGATTAGGGAGGGAACCCTGGACCCATCAACTCCCCTAAACACAGACCAGGAAGACCTGGTAGAGGCCCCAGGCCCCTGTCCCTCAGAACATCCAGTGTCTGCTCTCCCAGCTCTGGCTGCACCAGCACTTCAAGCCTGCTTCTGTCCCATTCCCTCCCTAGGGACACTGCTATCACAATTAAGGGATCCCACCAGCCCCCTGGATGAAACCAAACCCAGATCTGCTGCTGTTGGCAATGGAGGAGATGTCCCACACTGGGAATAAAGAGGTTCCCTGGGACCCACCGGCCACTGCCGCATGCCGTCTTACAGATGGTGCCCTGCACACCCACCCCTGCCATTCAGCCCATGCCCGCTCACCTGCCAGAGGGGTACGCGTCAGTCAGGGCCCCACAGGAAACTAGCCAAGAGGGCCTAACAAGGAGCCCTTCACAAAGGTGGGAAGGGTTGAGGGAAGTCAACAAGGGCTGCAGGCAGTCTGGGCTAGCAAGACGGGGGCTATCACAGACTCAAGGTCAGAGAGGGTGATGGAGGGGAGTCCCCAAAGAAAGGAGCAGGATCTGTGAGTGCAGGAGAGAGGAAGCACACGGCCACGGCACCCCCAGCAGGAAGAGGCTTGGAGAGGAAATGGCCAGTCTCGGCCTAACTCTCCTGCTGGTGCCACCACTGGCTATGCCCACCCGGGAGCCCAGCCAGGGGCATGGAAGCCTGTTGGATGCAATTCGCAGAGGTCAGCCTACTGTGACCCAGGGCATCATCGAGAAAAGTGGGGAGTGAATGCAGACAAAGCGGACCCTCCCAGGCCTGGAACCCATTCTCTGATTCCCACAAAGGGCCACATGGTTGAACCTGATTCGCATCTTCTTTTCACTCCCTGTGACTGTGTTTCATCTTCCCCTTGGGGGATCTCTCCTGGTTGGCCCCCCCACCACCAGCACACTCTATGCACTTTTCCATTTCTATGTATCTCAGCCCCATCCCTGTGTCAGGATAAACCTTAGGAAGAATGGGTGGTGACCCATCCAGCAAGCTGCAATCAGGAAAATCTGGATGCCAGGTCTCCTTGGGATCACTGGCATCCTGGGAACCTACTACTCTCCTTCCTGGGAGCATGGAGAGCTTGTGGGTAAGGATGGGCCCTGCTTGCTGTGCAAGGGCCAGCAACAGTCCCCAGTGCCTGCCAGGGACCGGCTTCTATATCCTAGGAGAAAGCTGGAGCAGGGCTGCCAGCCAAGCACCCGACAGGAGATGCCAAACACGTCATCCAGGCCAAGGGGGCAGCAAGGACTGCAAGTAGCCACCAACCATCCTTCCTCTTCCCAAGAAGGTGGGCCTCCTGGAGAGAGCCCCAGGCAGTGTCCTTGAGTGATATTTTAACAAACACTCCTAAATTGCTTATAATTGCAATACATGCCCAGCAGGCACTGCCTGTTTTAAAAGCTTTACGAAGATCTTCCCATTTACTCTCATAAGAAGCTATGAGGGAGGGATGGTTATCTTTCCCATTTTACAGATGAGAAAACTGAGGCACAGAGGGGTTAATTAACCTGCCTTAGGTCACATGGGGAGCAAATGGTAGCGCAGGACCCAGACTCAGGCAACCTGGCACCCAGATGCATTCTCTTAGCTTCTGAGCTACCGGGAGCACACCGACTGCCATCCCTGCCAGCCACAGACATGAGCTGCCACCCAGACACACGGCCTGCTTCCCACTCCTCCCAGACCGGATATTTAAGGCATCTCTGGAAAGACTTTGCCACTCATCAAACGAAAGTGAACAATCTCAGAGGTGACCCAGGGCCTCTCTGGCCTGCAAGGAAAACGTGTGGGCTGAGTTTCTGAGAGGTGGCCTCTGAAATGGATATAAGCATGTGGGGGTTCAGGAGGGAGAGCTCTGGGGACCCACCTTTCCGGAAGGGAGGGAAGAAGTGGGACTCGGCCGAGAAGCCAAGCTGTTACAGACTCTCAAAAGAAGCCAGAGCTGCCCCTGAAGTGAGTGTTAGAGGGGGTGATCTCACAGAGCTGGGTGAAGGTATCCTATATCAGCAGTCATTTCATGCAGAACAGCCCAAGGAGGCACCATGGCCTGGGCAAGGCAGCCCTCTCCATCAAAGCACTCCCTCACCAGCAGGGCTTTCTGCCAGCAGGGGTCCCAGTGGGTGGAAACCATTTCTTTGTTCCTGGAGGGGATCTGGGACACACATCACCATGCCCATCACAAGCTGTAAGTCAAACCTGCTGTCTAGCCTTGGCCATCCAGGAAGTCTCTCCAAACATCCTTGCATCCGGGCTACTTGGCTCTATCAACCAGGACACAACTCCAGAGGTGTTAGGAATCCAAGGTTCCCTTGCCCTAAACACAAGGCCTACACCTCCTGGCTCTCTTCTGTGCCCCATAATGGGTCCCACATGGGCTGACGCCCGCACTCCCAAGTCAGAAGTTTACTAAGGGTCTTGAGAGATCAGAGTTTTATGAATACTCACAGGGGCAACAACTAGCAAACATCAGAAGTGACCAGAAACGTGAAAACAGGAGAATCTGTCTGGAGCTCTGAAGACCTGCGGGCCCAGCTCGGCCCTTGGCCACTGGCTGGACTTCTTCCTCATTCCCTGGCTCTTCGGTCTGTGTCCTGGGCTCCCCTGATCCCTCCAGGCTGAGTCAGTCTACAGCTCTTGTGAACTCTGTAGGCCTCACCAGAAAGGCCACAGAGATGTTCTGAGAGGCCAAAGGGAGTTCTGTCTGCATCTCAGAAGAAATGCCAGGCAGGGCAGCCACTTTTCTGAGTTCCTACCTTGCCACTGAACTGTCCTCTTTCACAATCAGAAAATGTCAGAGAAAATACCCATGGAGAGAATCTAAAGAATTATTCAAAGCCACCTTCATCTAACATAATTTATACCACAATCACAGTGGCTTCTGACAGCAGCTTAAATGAAGGGAACTGTTGAGTGGCTCAGACATGCCCTCTGGAAGGACCAACCAGCCCCCCGCTGGTCAGGAAGCCCAGGCGCTTCTCCACGGGGTCCCAGGCAGCTGCCCCTGCTCCTGCAGTCCTGACGCCCTGATGGGGACTCTTCCACCATCACCCCTTTTATAGGAGGCCCAAGACCAGCTGACCCAAGAGTCCACCACCAAGAACACTTTCTTAAGGTCCAAGAAAAAGCAAGACCCAAAGAACAGGGACACAGGTGGTTCGAAAGTGGGGAAAACCCTAGTGCCACATCAGCCACACTCGGGAGAGATGGCGGCACCCCCCGACCTGAGAAGGGAGGTTCCAGGCCTCTTGTCTTACAAGAGTCCTCCTCCTGAGGTGCTCCTCACCCCAGTCCAGAGAATAAGTAGTAGATCAGACACACATCATCCCTGCCCTGCAAACTGGACAAAAAAATCATTTTGCCCTGCAAAATGCCCACTGCTGGTCCCCCAAGAGAGAGCTGCCCATCCCCTACACCTCACAGTCAACCCGCCACTCTTTCAGCACAGCTTCCAGTGGTCAGTCGGGGCATGTGGGTGAGGACAGGGATGGAGCCAGGCTGGAGGGTCCTCCCTTCCAGAAGGGAGTAGGAAATGAGGTCTTCGCTAATTTTTTGTAGTTGCTTTTGAACCATGGCCTTGGCTCACGGCACAGAT